TCAGCTAATCTTCAACAAAGCCGGAAAGTGTATCTAATGGAAAAAAGTCTCTTCAACAAATGGTGTTGGAAAAACTGGACAGCAACATGCAGAAGAATGAAACTGGACCATTTTGTGACAAAAAATAAATTCAAAATGCACAAAATAAATTCAAAATGGATGAAAGACCTAAATGTGAGACAAGAAACCATCAAAATCCTAGAGGAGGACACAGGCAGCCACCTCTTGGACCTAAGCCATAGCAACTTCTTACTAGACACATCACCAGAGGCAAGGGAAACAAAAGCAAAAATGAACTACTGGGACTTCAGCAATATAAAAATCTTCTGCACAGCGAAGGGAACAACAAAACTAAAAGGCAGCCTATGGAATGGGAGAAGATATTTGCAAATGACCTGATAAAGGCCTAGTATCCAAAATCTCTAAAGAACTTAACAAACCCAACACCCAAAACCCAAATAATCCAGTTAAGAAATGGGAAGACATAAATTAGACATTTTTCCAAAGAAGACAACCAGATGGCCAACAGACACATGAAAAGATGCTCAACATCACTCATCATCAGGAAAACACAAATCAAAACCACGATGAGATACCACCTCACACCGGTCAGAATGGCTAAAATTAACAACTCAGGAAACAACATATGTTGGCAAGGATGAGGAGAAAGGAGAACCCTCTTACACTGTTGGCGGGAATGCAAACTGGTGCAGCCACCCTGGAGAACAATATGGAGTTTCCTCAAAAAGTGAAAAATAGAACTACCCTATGATCCAGCAATTGCCCTACTGGGTATTTACCCAAAAGATACAAAAATACTGATTCGAAGGGGCACATGCACCCTGATATTTATAGCAGCATTATCAACAATAACCAAAGTATGGAAAAAGCCCAAATATCCATCGACTGATGAATGGATAAAGAGGTGGTGTGTATACATATTGGTGTGTATACATATATATATGTGTACACACACACACACAATGGAATATTACTCAGCCATCGAAAAGAATGCAATTTGCCATTTGCAACGACGTGGAAGGAGCTTATGCTAAGCAAAATAAGTCAGAGAAAGACAAACCATATGATTTCACTCGTGGAATTTAAGAAACAAAACAGATGAACATAAGGTAAGGGGAAAAAAAGAGAGGGAAGCAAACCATAAGAGACTCTTAATTATAGAGAACAAACTGAGGGTTGATGGGGGGGCTAGCTGGGTGATGGATATTAGGGAGAGCACTTACAGTGAGCACTGGGTGTTATATGTAAGTGATGAATCACTAAATTCTACTCCTGAGACCAATATTACACTATATGTTAACTAGAATTTAAATAAAAATTTGAAAAAAATAGTTTTTTTAAAGGAGACTTTGAAAGTTTAGAGATTAAAAATGAAGCACACAACTGGGAAACAAAATCACCATTTATTGAACAATTCTTATATATTAGCATTATTAATTATATATTAGCTATATTAAGGCATATATTATATTTATACTTAATCTTCCAACATAAGTATTATTGTTCATATTCTACAGAAGAAAAATTAGGCTATTTATTTCACTTCCTAAAATGCCTCCGCAGATGTCACCTTTTTAATGAGGTCTTCCCTGGTCAACCTATCTAAAATTGCAAACCCATCCTCCATCCTGAATTCCTTATTTATCTGCCTTGCCTTAAATTCTGCAGGACATGTATCACGTATACAATGTAACCTACTTATTTTTTATCTCCCCTTATGAAAATATAAGCTCTACAAGGCAGAGATTTTTTTTTTCCTCTGTTCTCTTCTGAAACCCCAGCACCCAGTAGAGGACCTCACACAAAGTAGGTATCAATAAGTATTCAAAAAATGAGTAATGAATGAATGAATGTACAGCTGATGCACTGGTGAGTTTCTATGAGTTAGTTCTGAAAGTCTGTTCAACTCAAAGCCTTTCCATGTGTTTATACCAGAGTTGTTGAGTGTGTTTGTGTGTGTGTATTGCATAGAAGTTGATCAGGAAAGAAATGAAGTAAGTAAGACTGGTGACAAGGAACTAGGAAATGAAGGTGAGACAGAACATCTATCTGGAGAAAGATAATGCCATTCTTTAAGATGTGCACACAAAGTGTGGTTATTATCTTTTATTTATTTATTTGTTTGTTTGTTTTTACTTATCAGAGAGTCTGATGATACAGGCTCTTACTGGCTTTGAACGTAGGAGGACAGACAACTAAAGCTGAACTGCATGATGAGCTGAGTCTGAGCTAAGGTATGTTTCCCCCAAGGAGGTCTCTTGAGTTCTAAAGCTATATGGACAATGAGGCTAAAAGCCAATTGGGAAAACTCTGAAAAACAAAGATTTCAGCAGCCCCAAAGTACTGAGGAGATAGAATTGGAATTCAAGTCCCACCAAGAAAAGGGACCAGTATACATTCCTGACTCGTGTGGAATACCTGAAAGGCTAGGTCTTAGGAGCAAGGAAAACCAGAAAGAGTCTGAACCTTACCATAACTGTACCTCTGTCTCATCTCAGAGATAATCACCCACCCCCACCCTGCACACACGCAAACACACACACACACACACACACACACACACCTCCTTATCGGAAACAAGGATGAGTCTCTGGCCAAAGATAACATCACCCGAAGCCTTTGTAGTTGCCCTAGTCTCTGGTCAAAGATAACATCACCCGAAGCCTTTGTAGTTGCCCTAAATAATGTTGGGCAGTCAATTACATTATGGCATGAGGAAAGAGACAACCAAATAACAAAAGAAAATATGAAACAACAGAAACACATACAAAGTTGATCTAGGTACTGAAATTAACCATTTAAAGTCCTTATAAGCTATGATTAATATGTTCAAGAAATAGAGGAAAAGATGGCAAATACAGATTTGTTAAATTACAAATTCCAAAGAATATAATCTAAAAAGGAATAGAACAGAAATTCTAGAATAGAAAACTGTAACAAAAACTAAAATTAACTCAATAGATGGGCTTTAGCAGATTAGGCACAGGAAATTTAGTAAACTGGAAGACAGATAAATAGAAAACATCCAGTATCTAAGAGTTTAGTGTATATTAAAAAACAGTTTTAGGGGACAGCATCATTGATTTTTATGAATGATAATAAAAATAGTAACACATACTAGTATGTACTTGCAACTCTTCTAGGTACAGTATATTTAATCCCTATAAAACCAATGAGGTAGGTAGTATCCTATTAATATCTCCCTTTAACAGACTACAAAACTGAAACAGAATGTAGATAATTTTGCAAGCTAGTGAATGGATAAGCCAGAATTTGAACTCAGGCAGTTTGACCCCAAAGTCCACATAATCAGTAAACTATACTGCAGTGATTAATAACAATTGAGGTTTGGTAAAGTTATTTATATTTCTTACTATCCTCTTAAATCCCTCTCAGCATAGATGGAATTACTAATTAGTAACTGCTCTAATGACGATTTTGTAAGCAATTTAAAATTAATTCTAAGTTATGCCATGATGCTTTTATATGGCCCATCAGAGAAAAGCTTGGTCAGTTGGCCCCATAGGTACAGCAAGGTAGTTACTCAAAATGCAGGTTAGCATAGGAGAAAAGAAATACTCTCTACAGTATCAGCCTTGAAAATTCAAACCTATAAAATGACAGCCCATATAATATAAAATTGTGGAAGAGAAATATTCAGCACAAATACTCAAAGAAAGAAATGGTAGAACTATCTAAAGAGAGAACCTCTTACAAAACCCACATGGGACACAGAGAACTCCTCTCAAATAGCGCATGTGACAGCAGAGTTTAAGCTGGACTGAACTCATATACCAATTTGGGATTATAGTATAAATTCTGAAACTATTCTAACAAGAACATCTTTCCGTTCTCATCATTTGTTGAGAAAGCCACCAAGAAGCCTTCTCTTAGCACCAAATGCCCTTTTTGATTATCCAGAAGAGGAACTATAAAATTAATTTGTAGTGAGAAAAAAACTAAAAATGCTCAGGGAAACTGTTACCTTCACCTCCTGGCATTTTGCCATTAGAAATAAAGCTCTTGCTATAAAATTTCTTAAGTTCAAGAAAAAATGCCTCCTATAATGCACTTTTCTGTCTTTAGACACCTAGACCCAGAAGATTTTGTAAAGTCCACGTTTGTGGTCTTGATTTCTAGGAAACATTTTAAAAGTTCTGCTGATAATGTTTGCAAGGCTAACGCACTCTGGACAATGTTACTCTGTGTACTACCTGTAAGGTGGGCAAAGCATCAAACCAGGGTTTTAGCTTCTGAAAGAGGCACAGGCACTCCGTGTTCTTCCCAGGCATATCTAACCATCACCTTTCATAACAGTGAGAACCTACCACATTTCCAGAAAACATCTAAGACTAAATTTTGGAAACTTCCGGTCACAGAACAAACTTAGGTTCTCTGACGAGAACTTAGAGAAAGTTCTTCAAACAACAGAAAACATTAAAAAAATAATAATGCTTACCTTTGAATATTTCTGTAACTCGGCGTCATCTGCAATCTGCGTATCCAAAGTAGCCACCTAAATTTGCAAGAAAAAAAAAATCTCCAATATCTGTAAAAGCATAACTTTATTTCTTCTTAGGTTTTCTAAAAACAAATCTGTAAACCCTATATGTTGCTAATACCATCTGATATGCATTCTCATCTTTTTCTAATATTTCTGAAATCCAGAAGTATAATACATAATGCAAAATTTCAGAGAATATTTTTTGTTGTTGTTACTGTTTTCTATAGCAATCTTTTCCCCTATATTACTCAGCTGAACCAGAAGGGGATGGGCAAAACACATACAGTATTTTTAAAAATCCATGACCCCTAAAATTTTAATATAATCCTCTGTTGTAAGGAGTCCATACAAATTTTATCCTTTTAACAAAGCCAAGAGTATAATCATTTTTACTTTTAAATTCAGGCCTTAAAACAAAATTTGCCAGGTCAGTTAAGTGAGACAAGTTTGGAAAAACTGAAGCATCTGACTTTCCACAGCAAACTCCACCATTTCCCTGGGAGAAATAGCTGGAAAGGACACAAACAGAAAGACCTGGCCTGGTGAGAAGCTCATGGAATACTTAAAGCTCTTAATCCTAGCCTAGTCTCAGTGGTAGAGATCGACAGAAGTGAATTCCTAGCAAGCAAAATACTTTACTGATGATTTGCATCTGTAAGTTGTTAATGAAGTATGGTGCAGCTGGAGGGAGGGGTAAGTTAAGCAATGATCCAACTAAAGCTTCTAGAAGTACTACATTTCATATAAGTAGATTCTAGAAGAAAAATGAAATCAGAAACACTGGAGTACATGAGTGCATGCATGCATTTATTTATCTTGCCTGGTTTCTCCTTTCTGCTCCTCATCCCTCAAAACAGCAAGAACCCTTAACGAATAAGTTGTCATTTTAAATTCCCAACCTCAAATTCTGTCTCCTCTTTCTCACCATTATGTTATGCTTCTCACTCCTTATAACACTCCTCACTCCTTATAACTACTCCTCCGAATAAATTTGGAGGAGTAGTTATAAGGAAGATAAAATTTTAACCAAAAAGAGCCCATCACAAAACTGTCCCATTTATAAATACTGGGACACCAAATTACTTTGAATATCAAACCACTAAGAATAGTAGAAAAAGTTATTTGCTAAGGTGACAGCCTAATAACAAAACATTTGCATTCTATGAAGTAAGGAAACAGCAGTTCATGAGGACCAAACGAAAGTATGAAATTAGCAAGAATAGAGAATGGAATGTTTTAACTCATCTTAACGACACTGGAAATTTTCTGACAGTAAGATAGTGGTTGTATGTTCTGAACTGAGAAAAAAAATCTCCAACCAGCCAACAAGTACTAATGATAAACATATGTAAGAAAACATGAATGACAATAGAAATTTAATAGAGTATTTTATTACTAATGCATTTAGTGAACACTGTAGAAGCTTTTCTAAGCACAGCTTTCTGCTTTCACGTGGATTCATAGGGGGGAATGTAATCAATCCCTCACTCAATGAATCTAGTAACAGGTGAAAGGAAGTCTAATGGACCACTGGTGCTATAAACTTATACCCGACCTAAATTACTTCCTGTTCTCCCTAATACATTTGATAATCATTCTTTCATTTTTCTCATAAAACTGTAAGATTCTTTGTGAAACACAGGACTAATATCCACAGCCCTTTCAGTGTACAATAAAACAAACAGATCATAAAAGCAATCATAAAAGTGCCAGCAATTTTAAGCAGCTGATACAGGTTGTAAATTTAAAGGCAAGTCTTCTAAGGTTCTTCTGCCTACCGTTGACTTAATTGTTTTCAACATGAACCAAGTGTCTGCTAATTTTAACTGAAACTTGTGCGCAGTCCTTAATTCTTCTTACAGCTTAAAATGTTGAAAGAGGTAAAAACATCAATTGATCCACTAGGGAAGAAAGGCAGGAGGAAAAATAAAGGCAAGCTGGCTAATCTTGGGCTCTCCCATTTCTTTAAACTGCAATGTTAGGAACTTGACCTGCAATGAGACATTTTTTTTTATTATAATATTTTAACATACCATTACTTCATAATCCGGGCCCAAGAGGTTTTCCCATCTAGATTTCAGCTCATTTTCTGTAGAGTCTGGGACCTTTTCTGGATTTAAAAAAAAAAAAAAAATGAAGCTACTCTGAGCCAAACTTTACTAAATTCCTCAATAATAGCACAGTTCCAGTAAGTAAAAGGGAAATGAATAAAAAGGAAAATGCATTAACTTGGGTCTACCAGGTAAAGGAAATCAGAGGTGACTTATAAGACTGACATAAAATGTAAGGCCAGTTGTGACCAAATTACGAAGGGGCTTTTGTGAAGGACTATTTTAAAGGGAAGAGAGACATGATGAGTTAGAAATGAAATTTGAAATATATGCACTTTATATGTAAACATCCTGCAGTTTACAAGTAAAATACATCTGGCTTTGCTTTACAATATGTTAAGACAAACAAGGATTGAATTTAAATGTTAATCACTTCAAAGTAATACCTTCCACTCACCCACAGAAAAAGTAAAAACTTATCAAGACATCTTTACCATCAACCGGGCATATCAACACAATCCGGTCAGACTTCTCATTTGGGCGGATATAAAACCATGTCTGGTTTAATTCAACAAGGGAGATGCATGAGCTTTAACATACTAGAAACTCTGTGTACTTTGGTCTCATGTGGTTACTTGGTTATACCTTTGTGACTCTTGAGTAGAATATTGCTTTTGCTTACGTGTAAGATAACATTAAAGAACTAAGACAGATTTTAAGTGCCCTGCGTGTCCTCCATTATGATCTTAGCCAGAAGCTCAGGACACAGTTCATAGTCTGAATAATGCCTAATAGCCAAAAGTTAAAGTACTAAAAATACAATTTCAACTTATATCCATAGCAGCAGCAGAAAATAAACAAACCTTCACCTTTTTTTCTTTAAGTTAAAGAAAAACTCAATTTTGTCACAGATTAAACAAGTCACAGAACACTCCAGCTGACATAACCATCTGTCTAAAATCAAACATAACTTGCAGTATCAGCTCTTTCAGTCTTCAGCATGGACAGCTCATCTTGGATGCATATAATGCTTAATTACATAATGCAAATCATCAAGTAAAGGCTAATCTCAGAATTCAGAGCCTAAGACTAATAAACACTAAAGAGCTTAACTCACTAGATGTACAAAAGAATATCCATGAAATAACTGTATCAACTGACATGCTAGGTTATATGTAAGGGATAACCAAAGATATTATTAAAAGCAAAAATATTATTCATGTGGGCTCTGCACCTTTTGCACTTCCATAAGAAATTACGTTAAGAGTTCTACCATCTTTGTTAAGTTTCTTCCATGTAGCAGTTCCTTATCTGGTAAGCTAATTTGCAATGTTTTGGCTGAATTGTAAGCTTAAAAACATGATATTTAAAGATGACATTCCATACACATGTATAAAATAATGATATCTCACTTACAATTCTTTTAACTTTTTCATCTTTCATTTGTACAATGGAAGTACAGATAGTCATGAGTTTTAAAGCATAGCACAAAGCTAAGTACCAGAGGAAAAAGACTATTTTCACAGCCCAATAAATCCTGGGCAACACAAAGTGACTTAAAAAAATGAACAGTATGGTGATCTGAAACAATTATTCAAATGGCAATGAAGGGGAGAATATGCCACCCCAAAATATGCCATTTTAGCATGTAGAGTATTTTGAGCTAGAGGCAATCAAGACCCAGCAGACTCAGGAAAAACTTTTACCTCTCCCTTAACTACCTAAAAGAATTTAGATAGGAGGGTTATACCAGAAAGAGCTATTACAGAGATAACCTTTTTATCTGAAAGACCTATTGGCATGGCACAGCAAACTTTTAATTACCAAACATTTGCTTTTCTTACCATGCTGCAAATTACCCTCATCTTTGAAGCCCCAGGCCTCTATCCTATTCCTTAATTTAGAATGGCTTATAAACCTCAATTGCCCAACTTACTCTTGGGTCTCATATTTTTATGGGGCTCCCATACTCATGAAATTTGTTTTTCTCCTATTAATCTGTTTTATGTCAATTTAATTATTAGACCAGTCAAAGAAACTAGAAGGGAAGAAGGGAAAGTTTTTCTGCCCCTATAGCAAAAAAGACAGCTAACTTCTTAGCAGTTCAATGACTTTGGTCTTACTGTCAAGCTGAAATTATATATATTCATGAAGGAAAAAAATGCAATGAGATTGATCCAAAAAAAGCAGATAAAAGTCTCTGAAAATACTTCTAACTTCAGAATGTATTTGATTTTCACGCAATAGTTCCATGAAAATCTATCTGGGTTCACTTGAACATAAATAGCAAAGATCTAACTTAATCCACTTGGGTCAAAAAGAATAAGGTAAATTTCCAAATTATAGGAAATTTTTTAACTTGAATGCGGGGTTACTCCTTCCCTGAGGTCATCCTTTCCTGAGACAAGACAATCAAAGCCAAAACTTCTCTGGAAGAAGATAGTGTTAAGTATTCCACTTCATTCAACTGTCAAGGCTTTCTAGAGCACTTCTGTGCAGGGAATTGTGTGAGACTGCTATTCAAAATGCTTCCAGAACAGAGTCAGCTATGTAACCAAGGTATCAGAGTACCAAGTAAAAGGACGAAGTTGCACATAAATTAAAAAGATTAAAATATAAATATATAGCAAGCTGGCAATTTGATAAAACATGTAAATATGTATACATTATGAATTATTACGGTAAAAGGAAACACTGCTATATGTATAGAAAGCTAGATATCTATAGCTATATCAAAGATAATACATATTAACACATGCACTAATTAAAAACGCTGACAAGATTAAAAAATAGTTAACACATACTAACAAAAGTGCATGCACAATTAAAGATTAAACAATAACATGCTTGGTCCCTAACTGCCACAAGTGTTAAGATGTTGATATTAAGAATATCCTATTTTGGGGATGCCTGGGTGGCTCAATCAGTTAAGCATCTGCTTTCGGCTCAGGTTATGATCCCAGGATCCTGGGATCGAGTCCCGAGTTAGGCTCCTTGCTCAGTGGGGAGTCTGCTTCTCCCTCTGCCTGCCGCTCCCTCTGCTTGTGTGTTCACTCTCTCTCTCTCTCAAATGAATAAAGTCTTAAAAAAAAAAAAAAAAAGAGTATCTTATTTTGGGGGCACCTGGGTGGCTCAGTCACTTAAGCTTCTGCCAGGGTCCTGGGATTGAGCCCCATGTCCCCTCCCTGCTCAGCAGGGAGTCTGCTTCCTCTCCCTCTGCCCCTGCCCCCACTCATGCACTCGCTTGCTCTCTCACTCACTCTCTCTTTCAAATAAATAAATCTTTAAAAAAAAAAAAATCCTAATTTGTATCTTTCAAAATGCCTCTAAAATTTCTCACGTTAGGGGCGCCTGGGTGGCTCAGTTGGTTAAGCGACTGCCTTCAGCTCAGGTCATGATCCCAGGGTCCTGGGATCGAGCCCCGCATCGGGCTCCCTGCTCGGCGGGAAGCCTGCTTCTCCCTCTCCCACTCCCCCTGCTTGTGTTCCCTCTCTCGCTGTGTCTCTCTCTGTCAAATAAATAAATAAAATCTTTAAAAATAAAAAAATAAAAAAAAATAAAATTTCTCACGTTATATTAACTATAAAGAGAGAAAATGGTTAACAAATGAGAAAGTCATGCTTTGTGCCTACCTAATTTTTCTAAGGCTTGTATGTTGTCATTTTTCAGAATATCCATTCTTTTTTCAGTTTCCTCATCCCCGCCATCCAAGTCAGTTTCAGTTTCCACTGCTCCAGTTAGATAGCAGGCTGGTGTTTCCGATGGTTCTACAGCAGTTCCTAAAATAAGAATTGCTACCTTGAATCACTAGTAGCTGAAGACCATATTTAAGTGAACTTATTCCAGTCCTGTTCACAACCTCATGACAAACATCTCAGGTAACTTACATATATGATTCCTTTATTGAAAAGGATAAGGAACCAGGCAATGGGAAGGTAAGATTAAGGTAAAGTTGCTGACAAAGCAGAAGTAGATACTTTTCCACATAGCCTTGGAAAAGAAAAAGAACACTGAGGTCTTATACTCTTGTGGTTGTGGTGGGTAAGGAGCAAGATATGCAGAATAAGCCCATTCCAGTGCCCTGGGCTCTCCTAGGTTCTGGCATGACTTCATCAAGAGTTTTAAAAAAAATAACTCTGTGAATTGGAAGGGACTTGGAGAGAATTCCCCTGGTTGCAGTGGTTCCTCCCTTAGCTAAAGTGAGCTAAGTAAAGATTTCAATCTCAAGCATGCAAGTCATAATGTATCTCTTAAAACACAAGAAAGGTTGAACAAGAGTCATTTTAGGTCATTTTTAAATGATCACACATGGTGTATAAAGTATTCCTATCAAAAATATTTAACCTGGATCTAAGGCTTTATATCTAGCTTCTCACAGGAAACATAGTGGATAGAGGAACAAGTTGAATTATACCACAAGGACAATTAAATTCAGAATGTAGTATTCTAGTGACAAATGGACAAATCCCTTTACAGTAAGTCTGTGCCACAGAGGCAGGGGTGGGGGAATTCTTCTAGATTAAGAAACCAAAGAAACATAATGCAGGCAGTAAGTCCAATGTGTGATTGAATCTTAATTTTATGAGGTTTTTCCTTCAAAGAGGGGGAAGAGGGAAAAGAAGCTACAAAAGACATTTGGGGGCAATGTGTTAAGTATTTGATATTAGGGAATTACAATTAATTTTCTTTGGTGTGATATTATTATTATTATATAATATCTTTATTTTTAGAAACTACAGATTGAAGTATGTAGGACTAAAGTGCCATGATGTCTACTATTCAATCTTAAATGATTAAGGAAAAAAGATAAATAGATGAAACAAATATGGCAAAACATTAACTGCTAAATCTAAATGGTAGGTTGTGGGTATTTGTTATATTTTGATTTTTCTGTATGTTTAAAAAAAAATTTTTTTATATGTATGTTTAAAAATTTTTACAATACTGTTGACCCATGAACAATTGGGGGATTAGGGGCACTTCCCTTCCCCATGCAATTGAAAACCCACATAAAACTTTTGACTCCCCCCCCCCAAATTTAACTACTAATAGCATACTGTTGACCAGAAGCTGTTGATAGCATAGTCAATTAACATATCTTGTGTATTATGTGTATTATATACTGTATTCTTACAATAAAGCTAGAGAAAAAATTTTATTAAGAAAATACATTTATAGAAAGTACAGTACTGTACTGGATAAAAATCCATGTATAAGTGGAACTACACAGTTCAAACCTGTGCTATTCAAGGGTCAACTATAAAAAGTTGAAAAATATAACCAGTTAAAAGTTCCCATGATCTTGGGGTGCCTGGGTGGCTCAGTTGGCTAAGTGTCCGACTTTTGATTTCCACTTGGGTCATGATCTCGGAGTCCTGGGATGGAGTCCCATGTGGGGCTTCGCTCAGCAGGGAGTCTGCTTCTCTCCCTCTCTCTCGAGATGCCCCTCCTCCCACTAGGCACTCGTGCTCTCACACTCTCTCTCAAATAAAAATACTGTAAAAAAATTTTTTTAAGTTCCTATGATCTTAACATGACATTTTTAACCACACATAAAATTTCTTAGATCATTAACCCATTGACACAGACAAAAAGTACAGCCTAGTACTAGCCAAAGTAATGTGGCCAGAAGCTGCTAGTGTCCCTGGGGAAAATAGTTACATACCAGAGTTGATAGTACAGAGCAGTACATTATGTAATTGAATGCTACAAGTAGTATCCAAATTGGTACACAAATAAGATCTACAACGTATACAAACAGGAGTTTAGAGGCCAAAAAGACAGATTTAGAATGGTAGAGGAAGGTATTGCCCAAGAGCTAGAAGTCGTGAGGTTTGCTGCAGTAAAACAGACAAATGCCGGCTGTGGACGGCACACAAAAATGTTGTTACATGGTGGGCGCCTGGGTGGCTCAGTTGGTTGGGCGACTGCCTTCGGCTCAGGTCATGATCCTGGACTCCCAGGATCGAGTCCCGCATCGGGCTCCCTGCTCGGCAGGGAGTCTGCTTCTCCCTCTGACCCTCCTCCCTCTCCTGCTCTCTGTCTCTCATTCTCTCTCTCTCAAATAAAAAAAATAAAAAAAAAAAAAATGTTGTTACATGGGACAGGGAACCAAGGCATCACCATTCCCCTATATAGGTGGCTGCACATCAAACAGGTGATTGCTGCAAGGTATGATAAATGCTACAGTAGAGCACTCTTCCAAGGGTGCTAGTAAAACCCACACAAAGGACCTCTCAACCACGGAAGAAGTGTAAGTTTAGAGTCAAAATTTATCCCAACATAAATTTAAAATGTAGGCATGTGCAGGCAAGAACTGCTAATTCGCAGATGACATACTTTATTTGATACTGTAGACTGAAGCCAAGGGCTCTATCAGAGCTATTAAAAACCATTATGTTGATATAAATATTTATGTAAACCTTTTAAGGTCAATATAGCATTTGTACAATCTGTACTATTTAGGTGATTTTTAATTTCATACATACAATGCAGTTGACAGGGCATCTGTCTTTCAGCAGCAAAATTTCCACTATCACCTAAAACTTAAAAAGTTCCGATTTAAGTATCAATCAGTATCAACTGAAAGCAAGGCTTCCAATAAAATCTTTTAAAAAAAAAAAAAAAGCAAGGCTTCCAGGCTTATTATATCTTCAAAAGAGAGAGGGAAAAAAATGTATTCCTCTTCTGACAAATTCTAAAGGAATTATTTCTTACTTACTAGTTCTCTAACTAGTAATTCATTTTACATTGAATTTGTTTTTCAGGATTGTCAAATTTTGTTGATCTACACATTAATAACTTGGTAATTAAAAAACTGGGATGCATATAATTATTTGTTCTATAACGAAAAGTTGCTATTCTTTAATCAAAATAACAAGTATTTCACAAATAAAAATATCCTTAATAGAAATCCAGGTTTTATTTTTCCCCTCTGTATTTTTTTTTTTTAAAGATTTTATTTATTCATGAGAGACAGAGAGAGAGAAAGAAGCAGAGGGAGAAACAGGCTCCCAAGGAGCAGGGAGCCCGATGCGGAACTCGATCCCAGGACCCTGGGATCATGACCTGAGCCGAAGGCAGACGCTTAACCATCTGAGCCACCCAGGCACCCCCCCTCTGTATTTCAAAGAGTAAATTGGGAGACATTAGAATCAAATATATTGTTAGAAGTCATAAGAAATCCGAAGTGTGCAAAATGTCAGAGCATTAGACAAATGAGAGCCCCTAGAACAAAAGGTGTCAAAGCTTTATTATTCAAATATAAGTAATAAATGAAATTTAGAAGCTTTTCAGAAAAACGATTTCCATCTCCATTTAGAACAGCTCTCAGAGCTTAATGCATGTCAGGGTTCGTGTTCTAACATTTGGACTGGCACATCATAATAGGCAAAGGAAACTCTTCTTCAATGCACAAATGAGTTGATTCATTTCTCCATCACTGCATTACAAAAGATGGGCAGTTTTTCCTTCCCAGACTCACAGAACAACTTCCATAAGTAAGCTATTCTTCCAAGCCCAGACTATGGGGTGGGGAGAGGGATAGTGGCATTAACTACCTGTGTTGTATTGCGTGGAGCACTGGGCGTTATATGCAAACAAGGAATCGTGGAACGCTACATCAAAAACTAATGATGTACTGTATGGTGACTAACATAATAAAATAAAATAAAATAAAAACTACCTGTGTCTGAAGGCCATTCGAGTGGAGAAGCAGACGAAGACGTCTTCCTTCGAATTAGGGTTAGGTGTACCACTTGCCCTGCATTTCGTAATACTTCAACAACATCCTGGTTCGCAAAACCCTGAATATTCACACCATCGACCTAAAATATTAGGAGACCCATTACACAGAGGTTTCAGGTTAGCTGCTATTTTCACTTCTGACAAGGCAGAATAAAATTAGGCCTCTATCCCCTGAAAGTCACAAGGCATTTCCTAAGCCAAGAGTCATGAAAGATGCTTCCTTAGATGGACCTGAAGGACAAAGATTCAAATGACACCAACAAACATTTGCTTCTATGTACATCACTAAATTAAATGTGTCTATGCAGATATGTGGGTTTATGCTTCAAAAATAGTATTCAAATAAACTTTAAAATTTAACCAATTTCTACTAAATGGAGAAAGACCAGCCTGAATGGACAAAAGGTAATTACTATATTCCCCAGTATATAAAATATCTCAAATTTGTATGTACTCAAAATTACTTACTGTTAGTAGAAACATTAAAAAGACCTGGTTAATAGCTTCCTAAAATGTATATAAAACGAGTGAGTTTAAAGAACATAGAGGTGCTTGGAAGTCTTTTTTTAGGAGAATGCTAGAATATCTTTCCCATATATGTGTGTGTGTGTGTGTGTCTGTGTGTGTATATAAATATATTTTTTCCCTACCATTATGGTTAGTGACTCCTTTCTTCACACACAGTTAAAAAACAAAAGCAAACACAGAAAACAAACTTAGGACCCTGAGAGCCAAATCAATGAGATTTCACTGAACTTAAGTTTTTAAAACATTATGATATTATATAAAGCCATTCTCCTCTCATACACACTATAATCAAGATAACTTCTTTTTCCCAACTTGATTCAATTCTAAAACAAAGGGCAGTTACTTACAGCAACTATTTTGTCGTTCACTTGAATTTGGCCATTGTGGTAAGCAGCACTGCCAGGTATTACACTTTTCACATAAATCCCTGAAGCCTCCCCTGAGGTGCACAAAAACATATGGAAAAAGGAAGAAAGCTCTAATTAGACCTTGATTGCAAAATTCATATCAAGAGGTTAATTAGCTAGAGGGGCTGACTCGAGGCTTGATAAATACTATTTTGAACACAAGCAGAGAAATTGATGGGTTATTTCAAACTGTCACCACCACAAGTGACCCGAATTTGAAATGATGTGACTGATGACTATTTCTGGAAAAGCAATCAGTAACAGAAGCTTGATGAAATGCACTCTACTATGAGCTGGAATTCAGGAGAACCCAGGCAGTCTCATCCTCTTCTTTTGGGCTGTCCCCCTTCTTCCTGCTGCCTTGGAGACTTCTCACTTTTCACCAGCACTAAGACAAGAGTCTCCTACCTGGTCTTCCTGCCTACATTTAGTTCACTGCTCATGTTAGCTTCCCAGACACAGAAAAGTACACACAGTGTTTATAAAAAAAAAAAAAAAAAAGAATTTCAGCAATATTAAATAATCTTCACATTATAAAATATTTAAATACAAACAAATGGCTAAATAAAAATTACAACTATATAAAAAGCATACATGCCTATGGGCAAAGACTTAGAAGAGAAACTAGAAAATTAAAAACCGTAACTCTGGATGATTTTGTATTTTTATTCTTTCATTTCAAATGAACTTAAAATGTTGCCCATAGAAGAAAAATAAACATCAATGAATTCCTACTGCCTACATAATAAAACGTAAATTTCACAGAATCATATTCAAGGACTTCCATAATCTGCCCAAAACTTTTTTTTTTTTAACTTATCTTCCAACTGCCATCCCTCCAAGACAAAGTCCACACACGCAAGACTCTTGATATTTCACCAAAACATTAAGTAGTGTCATATTATCCCTTTTCTTTTTTCTTCCTATAAACCTCATCCCTTCCACCAAAATCCTTTTTCATGCCTAGCACAAATGTCTGTGAATTCTTTATTTCGCTTCTGTCAAATGTAATCTTTCATCTGCCATATGATAGTTTGCTTATAGCTCTGCTAAGACACATATTTCATTTACCCTTAAACAATTAAGAGCTATTTTCTATTTCTCTGACTAGACTTTTCTTATATTCATTTTTCTATCCTTTCAGAACTAAGCAAAGTAACCCCCTCAAACATCCAATGAATAGAATAAAACAAAAATTACTCTGAAAGACATGTCAAATAGTATACTGAATTTTTAAATGCTCTAGTTTTTGGATTCACCATTGCCCCCCCACAAAGTCCCCAAAACTTCTTTTGAGAGAAAAGAAGTAAAATGACTCTCTTCTTTATTCAGTAACATAAACATCAAATTTTCTCAATTTTCTATTGGTTATTCATTTTCATTTTACTTGGTGTGTATATTATACTGTTAGGTTTACAAGAACACTCCAAAAACTTAATATAATAAAGGTTCATAAGCCACAAGTTTATGAACTAAGCCATGATTTTTTCTAACGTGACAGCATATTAAGACCTATTCAATATAGTTTTTTTCCCCAACATTATTATACAATCCATACTTAGCTCTTTTGGAATTCATTTAAATTCTGAACCTAATAAAGGTAGTACTTAGAAAAATCTAAAGGTTTAAAAACAGTTATTTCATTAGGCTAAAATAGCACAAGGTGGTCTGACATGAATTTCATTCAGGACTTGAATACATTAGCACTCTTAATCTTTCCACCTGCTGTAAGTATGCAAAATAATAATTTTTTTAAAAAATTAACTTTCTAATCTTGCTATTTTTAAAAAGCCAGAACAATTCATAACTCTGAATTGATGTTACTAGCAAATATTTATCAAAAGGTTTATTTTTCCTTACTCTAATGATTGTCTTATAATAAGAGAGTAACTCTTACAATAAAAGTTACCAAAGCTTTGCATGTAGGAGTTGAGGGAGTGTTATTCAGAGTTACTTGGGCCATGTATGTATTCTTACAATAGAATCCCTTTATTTGACAGGAAAATAATTCTAATTAAAGAATTTGTTTTATGTATTTTTTAGTAATTATAGTAATACTTTTTGACATTCATAGTATGAAATATATACAGTAATCCTTTTATGTTATCACATCTAAAACATCATAATATGTAACAGTCACAATATTTAAAATATATCTTAGAAAAAGAGAAGATACAATTCAAATGTTATACACTGAGTTAGGCAATTAAATGCTTTTGTTAATGACAATCAAGTCAGCTATAAAACTACTGAGGTAAAACCAATTCTCTAATCACTGAAAAGTAACTGGCTGCCACTACAGATACATGGTTTTATTGTTCAGTATTGAAATTAAAATTTGCAGATATTTAATTTTACTATCTAGAAACCTTAACATCTTTTACAATTATTTCCAAATATAAAATAGAAATGATTCATTTACCTGTATGAGCAGTTCCGATATAGCCAACAATTCTAATCCCAAGACTCTGTCCATCTTTTCTAATGAGTTCAACATCGTAAGTTTCAAAAACAGAACTGTCCTAAAAGGAAAAAACAATTTTAATTATACATAATATTTAGTTCCATAACTGAGTGTAGTCAATTTGTGCATGGTTTGTCAAGTATTTTTTTAGAACCTATGGCAGAATCTTAAGATGGTCCCCATGACTTTTGATTCCGGCTGCTATTCCTGCGTTTATGTTCCATTATGTGGCAAAGGGGAGATTATCCAGGTGCATCTAATCTAATTGGGGGCCTTTCAAAAGCAGAGTTTTCTGGCTGGCAGCAGAAAAGGAAGTGAAATTGAAGCATAAAGGCTGGACTTGTGGGTTGAAAATGAGGAGGTCCTGTGAGAAGTTATACAGGGCACCTGGAGTTGCTGAGAGAGGTCCTCAGCTGACAGCCAGCAAAGGAAAGAGACTTCAGTCCTACAGCTGCAAGGAATTGTATTCTGCAGATGACTCAAATGAGCTGTCCAGATAATGAGCATCCAGATAAGAGTCCAGACAGCCCTTAATTTTGGCCATGCAGTAATCTAAGCAGAGAGCCCAGCCAAGCCCACCCAGACTTCTGACCTACACAACTGTGAACTAACAAAGCCTGTTGTTTTGAGCCACTAAGTTTGTGTTTTTTGTTTTGTTTTTTTGAGAGAAAGAGAGAGCATGCGTGAGACATGGGGCCTGATCCATGACCCTGAGATCATGACCTGAGCCAAAATCAAAAGTCAGACGCTTAACCAACTGAGCCACCCAGGCGCCCCTGTGATAATTTGTTACACAACAACAGAAAACTAATCCAGCCACTTAGAAAAAACTCAGGATAAATTTTTATCTTAAAAACAAACAAAAAAAACCAGAAACAACAACAAAAACAACCAAATATAAAGAAACATTGAGAAACAAATGGTAAGAATTAGTGTGAATAATAATTATTGGGACCAAAAAATATCAAACTAAAACTTACTTTCATTACTTGCCTTCTATTTTTAAGATTTTATTTATTTATTTGACAGAGAGACACAGCGAAGAGAGGGAACACAAGCAGGGGGAGAGGGAGAGGGAGAAGCAGGCTTCCCGCTGAGCAGGGGGCCCAATCCCAGGACCCAGGGACCACGACCCGAGCCGAAGGCAGACACTTAATGACTGAGCCACCGAGGCGCCCCTAAAATACTTCTTTAAAAGGATTAAGTGTCTAAAAACAGGATTCGATTCAAAACACTAACATTAGAAGGGAAACAGCTGATTGCATCAAATTCTTACTTATCACCCAGCTACACTGGTCCCCACTGCTGAATTGAAGGCTCCAGAGAGCTAGAGTAATGGAGGGGAAGAGAGTGGCTATAACCACTTTGGAGAGGAAAACAAAAATGATGTTAACATCTCAGACAGAAAGCTTCCACTCATAAGGTGCCAAGTAGGGAGAGGCAAACAACGTTCTAGAATCGGCCCTCGAACGTACATGAATGATGGTCTTCCACCTCTTCCTGCCAAAGTCACTTCTTTCTTCTTCCCTCTGCCCCTCCTTTTAAAAGCTATTTCTTTCCTTTTGCTTTATTACCCCTTGCTTCAGAGCCTGTAAGATGGCTGGAAAGATCTTGGAATGGACCAGAAAGACCTGAATTCAAATCCCAGCTTTGCAACTGATGCACTATTATGACTTTTTTTTTTTTTTTAATCAAGACCTAAGCTGACTGAGATCAAGAATCGGATGCCTAGGTGCGCCTGGGTGGCTCAGTTGGTTGGGCAGCTGCCTTTGGCTCAGATCATGATCCCAGGGTCCTGGGATTGAGCCCCATGTCAGGCTCCCTGCTCAGTGGACAGCCTGCTTCTCCCTCTACTGCTCCCCCTGCTTGTGTGCGCTCTCTCTCTCTGTAAAATAGATAAATAAAATCTAAAAAAAAAAAAAAAAGTCAGATGCCTAACTGACTAAGCCACCAGGTATCCCTCACTTTATGACTTTTAAATGAGTAATTTGGATTTGAGTTCCTTCATCTAATATGATCTTATCTTGATGAAAGGATAAGGCCTATCTTGCAGAATTCCTGTGAGGATTTCAGATGACCTTGACAATTCTAGGTGTTTGATAATAGCAATGATTATTGTTATATCATAATGATTATAATAGATATTATGTATTTCCTTTGTTCATTCTGTTCCTATGTAATTTATACATTGACCAGTATTAGTTTCCCCTCCAACACGTGAATGTCTCCTCACCACTCTAATGAAATAGAAATGGCAAGTACTGGGGTGCCTGGCTGACTCGATCGGTAGAGCATGCGACTCTTGATCTTGGGGTCATGAGTTTAAGCCCCACACTGGTCATAGAGCTTACTTTAAAATAAATTTTTTAAAAGCCCTTATTTAAAAAAAAAAAAAGAAATGGCAAACATTTTCCAATTTACAGATGAGTAGCTGAAGTGCAGGGAGGTTGGATGACTTAAGGCTGAGAAACAGCAAAAAAGGAAATCAAATTTGTCTAATGTCTCTAAACTGGGTTCTCTGCTTCACTGGTGAGCACAGAGGCACTACTCTGAGTCAAAGGCACTTCTAATCTGGCAGGGTCTCACACCCAGTATTTAAGGTGAAAGAATGGTTTGCATACTCACAGCACTAGGGCTCCTGTGAGCTACAGCAGGCAGGGCAACAGGTAAGGCTGCAGGGGTGGGAGGGGTTACAGAAATTGCACCAACTGGGTCTCTTGCAACAAGCATCCGGACTGAGTTTCCACAGTTCCTTAGCACTTGCGCAACTTGCTCGCTGGTCATTCCCTGCACATCTGTGCCACCAATCTTCAAGATGTGGTCCCCTGTCTGGAGTCTTCCATCCTTTAGTTGAAGAACAAAACAAAATTATTCCAAGAAATCAATGATCTAACTGCACTGGCTAATAACCAATTCATTGGACTTTCAATTCTGACACAATGGCTGACAGAGAATATAATATGCTAAATAAAACAACAGTTTTAATGAATGCTGAACTGGCAACAGAGAAAAGGAAATCTTTGCCAAAAAAAAAAAAAGATGGGGCGGAGGATGTGTTCAAAAGGAGAACAGTAACTAGAATTCTAAAATGGGTATTTGGTTGAGGGCATCACTTCATGCCTAGTGGCCTAGAGCCAAGGTATTCATGGCCACAAAGGTAAGGAAGAGATCAGAAAACCCTGGGCCTCAAGAAGGGAAGGAGGTTGGATCTGAGACCTCCGGCATCAAGCTAGGAACTCTGAAGGCCAACAAACTCCGTGGCACGTTAAAGGATCAGCAAGATGTCAGTGTGGCTGGAAGAGGATGAGCAAAGAGAAGAGTATTCAGGAGGAGATGGGAGCATTAACTGGAGGTCAGCAGTGCAGAGTCAGTGGGAAGGGAAGTCACTGAAGGGTTCTGAACAGAGAAGGGACATTATCGAACTTACTTTCACCAAGATCCCTCAAGCTTCTGTCCTGAAAAGAGACTACAGGACAGGAAGCAACAGAAGCAGAGATACCAGTCAGGAAGCTAAAACAACTGTGGACTAGGTTAGCAGTTGTGAGAAGGAGACTCTAGATGTTTTCTTAATGAACTCTCACAGGCTCTACTGATAGCTTCTACATGAGGTGGGAAAGGGAAAAAAGACTCAAAACTCCAAGTTTTTAGGCCAAGCAGTGGGTAGACAGCGCTATTAATTGAGAGAAAGAGGCCTGCAGAGGAATGGATGGGTGGGAGTAGAGATCAGGAGTTCAGTTTTAGAGATATTCAGTCTGAGATCCTATTAGACATGCAAGTGGAAATGTCAAATATGCAGCTGGATATACAGATGTGGAGTTCAGGAGAGAAGTCCAGACCACATATTTAAATTTAGGAGTCATTAGCATATATAACATATTTAAAGTCAGGATTCTGGGAGAATTTAGAGAAAGGATACATAATGTTCCATTTCTTAAGCTGGAGATATCTACATGGGTAATTATTGTTGTTGTTGTTGTTATTTAAAATGTTTTATTTCTTAAACTAAGTGATACATACATTGGTGATTGTCATTATTTAAAATGTGCACAGCCATTATACATACTTTTTTATATACTTTTAAATGTGTATATTTCATACCCAGAAAAGTTTAAAACATAATATATCAAAAAGTACATCAGTTCAAAATGTTTAACATTTCCCTTCTACCTCCATTTGTCAAATTCTTGAAACAGCGGATCCATCTACATTTTGTTTCATCAGAAATTTTGAATTCTCTTTACTTACCTTTACCAAGTAAAGTTACCAAGATGTAAACATAGCTGTCTACAAAAGATTATATCTGCCTAGCACTTTACAGGTCAAAAATCACTTTTTATATATCATCTCATTTAGACAGGGACAACTTTAAAATGAGCAAATGGGATTCAGACAGGTTGACTGACTTGACCAAGGTCACAAAGCTGCTGAAGAGCAGTTCTCATTTAGTCCTTTCTCTTACACTTTGATACCTCCAGAATGACAGTAGTGGACAATAAACTTACTGTTTTCCTATTCTCCAAGAAACTGCCTATTACCATCAAAACGCTTAAATAAAATGAAGAGGAAAAGTAGGTATTTTGCAGCTGGGAGAGAAGGACAGCCTGAGAATAGAGCAAGGACCATCGGGCTTGTACAGTGCTAGGTTTCCAATTCCTGGCTACAGGAGGCACCATCAATAAGGCATAGATGAAATTCAGAAGGAAAAAGTAAAAATAAAAAATAAACATAAACATAAAGCCTTAAGACTAAAAAGTCTATTCTCCATCCTTCCTTTTCCCCAATTTTGCAGGAACCTGAATAAAGGTAGGTATTAAATCCTAGTATGGAGTAAAAAGCTATGGGCTTTGTTGTGAGGTCTGCAGAAGGCCCTAGAAGCTAATGGAGGGGGAGAAGAGGAGGAAAACAAATGCAATTCAATTCAGAAAACATTTGCAAAGACTCAGAGAAAAGACAGATGAAAGAGGAAATAAGAATTAGTGGATTTCTACTTTAAGCACTGGTAATTTGATATTGTATCAATGCAACAACCTGAAATAAAACAAGTAACTCCTCAAGAGAAAGTCAGTGGTCATGATGAAAAACACTGGTAAAGCGGCCTCTGTAAATCAAACCATCCTTGGCCTGACCAAAGAATAAAGAATATGTCAAGTAAGTGAACTTGGCTTGGCCAAAGAATGCCACTTCACTGTAAGTCCATATTTAGTCACCTCTAGGTACAATTTTTTTTTCCTATTTTACCTCAATTCAAAATGATGTAATTTGCATCTGTCACTGAAAGTCAAACATTTTCTTCTTCCAGAAAAACAGGTGTTCTGAGGAATTCATAAGTGCAAACACAATCAGTCAGATTGACAGGAAAGACACCAAAATGACAGCTACCTTGTTTAAGTCCAGCAGCCCCAAACACTGCATTTTACTGATATTTTTTGATTGACATTCTCCTTCCATAACCTGTCTACTGTGCAAGTAAATTAAAACTCATAGAGCTCCTTTAGTTCTTTAACAGAAATCATAAATCAATGATAACCAATAAACAGCTAGGCCAAGATGCAAAGATACAGCATGCTAATCAAACATTCAAATATAAAGGTTTATTAACCCATAGGTTCTTTCAAAAGAGAAAAATAATTAGGCATATAGCCTAAGATAGTATGGAAGGCACAAAAATTAAAACAGCTGATGTGATAGAGTACCCCACATTACAGTGAAAAGACCAGAAGTATCATTTATTCACTTTAAAAAAAAAAAAAAAAAGAGGGGCGCCTGGGTGGCTCAGTCATTAAGCGTCTGCCTTCGGCTCAGGTCATGATCCCAGGGTCCTGGGATCGAGCCCCACATCGGGCTCCCTGCTCAGCAGGGAGTCTACTTCTCCCTCTCCCACTCCCCCTGCTTGTGTTCCCTCTCTCGCTGTATCTCTCTCTCTGTCAAATAAATAAATAAAATCTTTAAAAAAAAAAAAAAAAAGATAAAATACTTTAATCCAAGTTAGCAGGTATAGGATAAAAAATATATTAGTTTGCATTTTAAATTCCCTGATAGGCAGTTTGGAGGATAATTTCAATTCAAAAAAATATTTGAGGGGCACCTGTATGGCTCAGTGAGTAGAGCATGCGACTCCTGATGTAAGGGTCGTGAGTTCAAGCCCCACACTGGGCATGGAGCCTACTTTAAAACAATAATAAAAAATTTTTTTAAATATACTTTAATAAATAATAAAATATTTGAAAACCTAAAGGAATTTAGGCTTGAGCTGCAAAATAAATCAAATTTGTTTCTTTGAAAACTAGAACACAGAAAATAAAATTATTATTAGGTTTGATTCCAGGCCAGTTCTATCATTGGTCTTTAATCAAAAGGCAACATAACATAGGCAGAAAATAGCAACTCTATAAACACTCTTTTCCTCAAAGAATTAAAGATACTACATCTCTGGTTTCTCTTCAGATCGCATAAATCTTTCGCCTTTTACTAAAGATACTACATCTAAAAACATCTATCCCATTTTCCTCAAATTCCCAGAGCCCTCATCAACTGATTTTTAATGATAAGGAAAAGATCTGTTTATAGATTCACTCAAAGCAAAATTTTCTTGGGAATAATCAACTATTCAGTGGCCTCAAGCTGGGCCTTGCTTATTCTAGACTAAAAATTCCTCATAGTACACACCCACCCTCCAATCTCTGCTTGGTTACATTCCTTCTTGGTATGAAAGATTACTGGATAGTTAACATGACTCATAATTGCCTAATACCAAAAGGTCAGTAATTCATCACCACTTTTAAATAGACTGCATTGTTATAGTTACCTTCCAGGGAAAATGGGTTCACTTAGTGTACCTGATTCCCCTAGAATTTCTCCAGACCACAAGAAAGATACTTCTGTCAAACGAAGTTTTACACTACCCATTTTCAATTAAAAACAAAAACAAACTTCTGAACAGAATTCTCAAAAGATGTATGTTTAAGGTACTGTGATTTTTGGAGACTAAGGTTACAGGTAGATATGGGCTTACAGACTTAATAGATTTTAAGATTGATGTATTATGTATTATAGGTTATAGATTTAGAATATAGATTATAAAGCTCCCCTTACACGATACCATGTAATTTTCCTATCCATGGAATAGGCCCTGATTGCATTTACTGACTGGTCATTGTAACTAAATCTCAACAAGAGTTTTTTTTTTAAGATTTTATTTGACAGAGAGAGAGAGCGAGAGAGGGAACACAAGCAGGGGGAGTGGGAGAGGGAGAAGCAGGCTTCCTGCTGAGCAGGGAGCCTGATGCGGGGCTCGATCCCAGGACTCTGGGATCATGACCTGAGCCGAAGGCAGACGCTTAACGACTGAGCCACCCAGACACCCTCAACGTGTTTCTTAAAAAGCTCATATGAATCACTATTTTTCAATTTCGTTTACTTTGTAACATTAGAGGCAGTAGACAGCAGAAGGACAAGTACAGGCTTTGGAGACAGACACACCCAAGTTCAAATCCTGGCTCTATTTTGATCAAGCTATAGAGCCAAAGGTTGGTTACTTATTCTCCCTAAATCTCAGATACCTCTTAAGCAAAATGGGAATGAATCCCTCTCCATTGATTTGTGAGCATTAAACTCAATTACTATATGTAAAGTCTTTAGCTGAATGCCTTGCTTATAGCAAATCATCAAATGCATCCATTTCTGACGTCCCTTTAGGCTACAGTGACCTCAGTCAGGTGTTCTTAGGCATACTCCCTCAACTGTACCCATCTTTTAACTGTATATAATATCTGTAAACACAAAAGGAAATATAGAGGGCTGTTTCATGAAACTCTTCTAAATAAGAAATACAGACTTCCTTCTCT